GCAACCTAGACACAACTCCTTTCAAATCAAGAGAGAAAGGTCAAAAGCTCATACGTTTCTCGCTGCTCGAGGACTTGGACGCGGTATTTGAGTCGCTCGACGAGGTGGATGTCGGCGCCAAGAGCGCCCGGCCCGACGACCGCGTCGTGCTCGGACTCGAGCTCTTCGATGCGCCGCTCGAGCTGGCGCTTCTTGGCGTGGACAGCAGCGAGGTCGTCGTCGAGAGCTTCGAGGCGTGACGCCATCGCGTCGAGGCGTTTGATCTTAGCGACCACGTCCGACGCTTGCAAATGCGCGACCGTCGACTCGAGAATTGCGATGCGCTGGCGCTGCGTCTCGAGCTGCCCCGCGTAATGATTCGACGTGTGTTCGAGCTGCATCGAGAGCGTATTGATCTGGAGCTGGGCCGCGCGCTGGGCCTCCACCGCTTGCTCGTACCTAGTCCCTTTAGCGTGAGCCCTCGTAGAAGCAGCGAGATTCAACAAGAGAGGTGTACCGATCTGCAAAGGCTTGGTAGTTGGCCTTGATCCCGACGATCTTTTGCTGGAGCTGACCGATGATTGCGTCATCGTCGGAGCGCGCGCTTAACTCGTGGAGCCGTGCTTCAAGCGCATCGACTTCGTCCCGGCGCCGCGTCTGGCGCAGCGCGAGCGTGTTGGCCTGTGACGCGGCCAGCGTCGCCACCTCCTTTTGTTTTTGCACCTATTTTCACCCATCAATCATATCGACAATTCTTCATGGTGCGAGAAATTGTACCTGACGCTCCAACGACCCGCAGAGCTGCTCGAGTTCGGCAATGCGCTGCTCGTACACGTCGTGGACGTTGGTGCTGGACGGCGCTGGCTCCGGCGTTGTCTCGGGCATGCCTGCTTCGAGCTCTTTGATACGCGCCAGCTGCGACTGCACTTGAACTTCAAGCGCTTGGACGCGTTCGTTTTGCAGCTTGTCGATCGACTCGCCATTCAGGCGCGCGAAGAGCTGTGCGTTCTGGTGTAGCAGCGACGCGTGCTGAGCTGGCAGCTCGAGCGTCGCGAGGTAGTGCGCGTGGCGGTCCGTGTACTTTTCCAGCAGCGCTGCGTGCTTTGTCTGGAGTCGCTGGAGCTCGGCGAGGACGCCGTCATAGTGGCGCTTGAGTACACTCTTGGTCAGCGCCGTCTCCATGTGCTGGAGCCGACTCAACGCGCCTAGGGCCGGAGATATTTCAACATATCAATGTATCAAGTTGGACATACCCTCGCGCCACGCCTCGAGGTACTGGATGCGCACCTTGAGCGTCTTTTCCAGGGCGAGGAGGTCGTCTTCGGCGGCGACGCGGCGTGTAAACTCGGTCTGTTTTTCTTCCCGCACCAAGTTGAATTCGCGTGCGAGCCGTGCTTGGTTGACTTCGAAAATGGCCACTTGCCGCGTGAGCGACACGACAGTCTGCTGCATTTCGCCCTCCTTCTCGAAACTCTGCAGCATGAGCTCGTACCTACCTCGATTTTTATGCTCCTTGTATCCGCGAACAGCAAAAAGGAATACCGATTGAGCTTGATGGATGCTTCGTCGACGTTGGCGGTCATGGTTGCGAGCTGCGTCTCTAGCGACGCCCGGCGCTCGGCAAACGTTTGCTGCAGCGCGATATGCTCGCTACATCCAGCATACACGCTACATGAGGAGGGGACGAGGCTATCGATGCACTACCGATAGAGCACGGTGTGGTTGTCTTGGACGCTGGCCAAAAGACCTTCGAACCCCTCGAGCTTGCTGCGGAGGCTGTGGTTCTCCAACGTCACGTGCGTGAGTTCGTCCAAGCACGTGTCGAGCTCGATCGCCCACTGCGTCTGCTCTTCCATCTCGTCCTGTGTCTCGAGAATCACATGGCGCCGTCCGTCGTTCTTCGCCGTCTCGTGTGTTGTTGTCTCCTGCTGCGTCGGCAAATGATGATGCAAGCCGCGGGCTTCGAGCGCCTTGGAGACCGCGGCCGCAATCTCATCGGCGGACGGCGGCGGTTCTTGCAGCACGACGCTTGCGGGCGACAAGAGACCGGATGTGTGGACGCTGGCGTGCTTGGTGAGTCGCGGATGCTCCAACACAATCTCGTCTTGTGATGGTGCTGGCGCACTCATGTCACCGCCGCCAAGGTCTCCAAACTCCGAACTCTCGTCGCTGCTCTCGTCGTCTGATGCGACCGCTGCCTCGCGCATGACCTAGGCCATTTATATCAATGTATCAACTTCAGATCCACCAAGAACGGCATTACCTGCATGTGCTCACGCATGTGGCTTTGCAATGCCTCGGTCGCGCGCCACACTTCGTCTTTAACCGTGGTCGCCCACTCGGGCGGACCGTTCGTTGGCGCCTGATTTGACGCGGCCACGACCGCCGAGAGCCGAGCGACGTCGGCTTGCAGCTGCGTGTTGGCGTCGTACAGCTTGCGTAGCTCTGCGCTCGTATCTCTTGTCGGCGACAAAGGACGAGGCGGCGCAGAGGCGTCAACTGTGTCGCCGTTCTGAAGCCGGTAGATGAGCTCTTGGACTTGATCGTATTGGGCACTGGTGAGTCCGTGGTGCTCAAAGAGGTAGGCCCCCGTCTTCTTGGCTTGGTCTCTGAGCTTGGTAAGCAGCGCAACGCGCTCGTCCTCCAAGGCCGCGACTTGAGCTTCGAGCTGGTGGATGAGCGCGAGGTTGCCTTGGACGCTTGTCTCCAAGACCAGATCCGGGTACTCGAACTCGTCTGGCTTGCCCGCGTCGCCTACGCAGATTGATGAAGAAATTGTGTACCGATATGAGAGAACGGGACGCACGTTTGAGCCGGGTACACGCCGCTTGGAGCTTGGAGATGGCGTCCTTGTGGCGACTGAGCTCGACGCGCAGCGCCGCATTCGCACTCTCTTGCGCGCTCAAGTCGCTTCGGAGCTTCTTCTGGTGCCGGACGACGTCGGTCAAGCCGGCCTTGGCTTCGTACTTGGCGTTCCACGCCTCGGCTTCCCGGCACTGCGACTCGATCGCGACGCAGCGAGCTTCCATGTCGGTGAGGAGCCCCCGCTGCTCCTTGACGCGTGCTTTCCACACGTCGACGTCGCGAAGCGCGTCCTGTGCTTGCTGCCGCTGGACCTGCACCGTCGCCTCGAGCTGTTTGATATCGTCTTTCGGCACAAAACTCGCGGCCATCGTGCTCAAATCGGCGTTCTTTTGAGAAATTTTGGTTTTGAGTTCGGCGATCTGCGCCTTGTCCTGGAGACGCATGTCTTGCAGCACGAGGATCTTGGCTTCGAGATCGCTCAGCGCAGCGTCCTTGACATCGTTCGACGTCGTCGATATGGCTGTTGTCGCGGTTGTGCTCGCCTGTGTAAAGGAATTAGTGTGAGGAGAGATAGGGGCGTCGCAACGCACCTCGAGTTCGCGCACTCGGAGCTTCCACTGCTCAAGTTCCGCATGCAATCCGCGCCGTTCAGCGTCAAACTTGGTTTTGAAGTCCGCGATCATCGCATCCACGTGCGCTTCGGCCGCGTCCATCTCGAGGATCTTGCGCTCGAGGCCTTGCTTCTCCGCGTCGTGGGACTCGATCTTGTGGAGGAGCTCCGTCACTGCCGTCGTGCGATCATCGAGCGCACTTGAGAGCGCCGCCTTCTCGTCGTCGGCGACCTGCAGCTTGGCTTCGGCGTCCAAAGCGACGCGCGAGAGCTTCTCGACAGCAGTACGAAGCTCGTTGTTATCATCTCGCAGCTGCTCGTTCTCGCGGAGGGCCGCGTATAGCTCGTCGCGGCGGCCGTCGCTGTCGTTCTTGAGACGCGCGAGCTCATCGGCTTGCAGAACACTTGACTTGGCCACGAGGGCGGCGGCCAGTTGTGCATGGGACGCGTCGAGCTTTGCCAGTTGATCCGCAAGCGCCGCTTCACGCGCGAGCGACGCATCGAGCTTGGCTTGGAGCTGCGTGACCATCTCGTTATGGGGTTCGTCTTCATCTTCTGCGATCGTTGCGACGCGGGCCGTGCGCGGGGTCTGGACTTGCTCGCGCAGGTCGGCGTTCATGGCCTCGAGCGTGGCGACTTGCTGGCCCAGCGACGCCGAGTGCTCATGGAGCTTGTCGTTCTCGAGCTGAAGCTCTTCCACGTCGCGGCGAAGATGCTCGAGCTCCTTCTGGACTGCCGAGCAGTCGGCCCGCGGACACGGCGATGCCATCGGTCGGGAATATCTTGGACAGCTCCTCTCGCCAATTGGCTGAAAAGGCCGCCGAAAAGACACGCATTTGCACCAATGGCATTGCCACCAGCAGAGTTGAAACTAGGAAGGATGTCCTAAACGGTCTACGGTATGTATGCTGTACGTTTCGGCAATGTCCTTGTTTTCGCCATACAGTCCATGTTCGAGCATAAACCGAACGCGGCAACACTCACGCTGGTGCACGACGTGGGTGAGGTCTGTGGGCGGTCGCATCATTCTTCAATTTGACCGATGGCAGCGAGAACTCCACAGCCATCGAGGCTCTTCGTCGCAAGCAGCTTCTTCGAGACCTCGCGATTGCCAAAGAGAAGCTCGCAGAAGGCATGGCATGGCACGCATCCAGTGCGACGAGAAGCAGGCCGCGATGCAACGCGCCGTCGACCTTGAGCTCCAGTTGAGATCGCCAAGGAAGAGATGCAAGAGCTCCACCGCCAACGCAGCGGGCCGGAGGTGGTGGGCGACTTCTTGCATCGGGTCTGCGCTGGCTGGGACGGGAAGAATGGCGCGTTTTACAAGGCGCTGATCCATGCGGCGTTGGTAGATCCCGAGACGTTGAAGCAACTCCAGCGTTGTCATTATTTCCATGGTCTGTCTCCAAGCGATTGTATCTTCTCGTTAACCATCTCTCAACTAGGACGAGCGAGGTCGTGTCGGTGGATCACGCCTCGGTGCACTTGGTGCTGTGCGATCCTTCTACATCTAGTTGTGTATGGCCGGCGTCGTGCTATAGCATCAGCAGACACCAAGAGACAATGAAAGGTTGTGGATTCTTTTTCTATACAAAGTAGTGCTTGACGGATGGAGTGACATTTATGCGTTCGGCGTCTCGGTGTTGAGGAGTGCGTCCTTGGACTTGGCCTCGGCCAGCTGCTTGCGCGGCGTCGAGAGGTCCGCTGTAGCCTCACCGCTTGCCTTTAGCGGTGCATACGCCGGCGCCTCCCTACCCACGCGCCATCAATCCCATTTTTCTGCTTCAATTGCGACAGAGGCTACGTACTGTCCCGTCGCGGCCTTGAACGTTTGGCGCAAGTACACGATTTCATCCGACAAAAGCTGCTTCTCGACCTCGAGTTTCTTGCATTGGACTTCGAGCTCGTCGTACGGCAGCTTGGCTACACCCAAGAATGGTGATACCTCTCAGAACCCAACTTGTGGGTCGGTGGTTAGGACCAACCTGTCGCGGTGCCGCCGAGGAGACTCACAATCGTTGGGTTACCCGTGCTGATTGCGTCTTTCGGCGGGTCCAAAATGTAGGGGTTGATGTAGAGCTGGAACTCGAGCCGGTGCGTCTGAAGGTACTGGACGAACTCGGCCGTGACGCACGGCACGTGGTGCACATGCGAGTAATTGAAGACGGGGTTGCGCGTGTTTTGCTCGACGCTTTCGGTCGTAAAGAGCTCGCCGAGGAACTCGTACTGGACATACGCCAAGTCCGTAATCATGGGCAACCCCGTCGCGCCCTTGATCTCGAGCTTGTACGTCCACGACTTGCCGACCTATTGTATCACGTAAGAAATTAATGGACAATATTGTCCATGCGTCGACAGACCAGATCCATGGGGCCATCAATGTCTTGGATGTGGTCTGGGTTGTGCTGCGCCTCGTCTTCTGCGCTCAGCGGCGTCCACACGACCTCAAGCTTCCCGATCGTGTTGAACGGTGGCACCGCGTTCTTGATGTTCATGCGACTACCTCGTCTTTCGTGCAAGGAATATTCGATGAGAGTTGGCGAACCTTTCGTCCGGATCGGTCTCGAGGTTGTACAAGAGATACTCGGGAAAGTTGGTCGCACTGCCGACCTAGATATTTGATACGCCGTGAGTCGAAGCAGTGAGCGTTCGACGGTCATTCTACGTGGAACGAGTTGTCGAAGAGGAGTGTGATTGGATCGTGGCCCATCGGCGACGTGTACTCGCGGTTGTTGGCGATCGCGTTCTTGAGAAACGCAACTTCGTCTTTCAAGAGCGAGTACGCTTTCACAAACTCAAAGACATCGAGCAAGATCGTCTCGTCGGTTTTGCTGTTGTGGACCTTGACCTTGACCTGCGGAATGCCTAGACAAAGTGCATTCTATTTACGACAACCGACGAAAATCTACCTTGGCCATCCCCGCCCGTGCCTTTGAGCGCCGTCTCAAAACTCAAAACGTCGCGATTGAGCACATGGACGATCTGCTTGAGCTCGTTGATCTTGGGCAAAACGTCCCGCAGCTCTTGGTCGTTGACTTGTCGCGCGAGTCGCTCCTTCTCCTAAAATGCACAAGAATCATTTTAATACATCCAACAAATTCATGCAAAAAGTCAAACAAAAGGGTGTCAACCTGCTGTTCGAGCTCTTGCAGCTTGCGTTCTTGCTCGGCAACTTCTTCCGGTGTCGCCGATGAGAGTGCTTCGGACCGCGCGGCCTGAGCTTGGGCCTTTTGCTCTTCCCACGCGGCCTTTTCCGCTTCAAACTGCAGCCGCTGCGCCTCCAGCGCTTGCATTGCCGCTTTATCTTGGCTCTGGAGCGCCTCTTGGAACTCGTGCGCCGCATCGTCGGCGGTCGGTGGCTCCTTCCCCGGGTCCTCGCGGCCTACGCACCGAAAAATGATGTTTGGGCGAGGTAAAGGGCTAGGGTACTGACCCGGGTAGCGGAAGAGCATAAGTTCGTTGCCAATCACGACGCGATCGAACGCAGCAAGCTCCACGCGCGTGCCTTTCTCGAGTTTCTTGCCATTGTGCATCGTGTCGCCGTTGCCACCGACGAGCGTGACCACGCTGCCAGTGTCGGCGCCAGCTTCGGAGAGCACGGGCGGGGATTTCTCAAAGCTGCAGTGGCCGTCGACGACCGAGAGCGCCATGGGCTTGATGTCACCTTTCGTGCCCACGATGGTCACCTAGTACATCCATTATTGACACTTTAGCCACTCGGTTTGTATCAAATCCATCCCTACTTCTTTCGTGAGCAGGTACATGAAGCGCTGCGACCGGTAGGCGTCGACGTCGAGGTTGATCAAGTACGGCAGCGTCGTCTTCTCTTCAAAGAACGTGAGCGAAATCCCCCGCTTCTCGTACTCCTCCTTCTGCCGCTGCATGGCCTCCTCTTGGGCCTTGGCCGCGGGCTTGGACCCGCCGTCGCCGCCATCGCTCGTCTCGCCCGAGAGAACACCTAAGTTCATCGACCACCTTAGAAAAGTATGCCGTAGATCATAGAAAGACCTTCGAGTTCGCGTTGCTTCTGGGCAAGGAGGGCGCTGATCTTGTCGACTTGGTCGCTGCCGCCGCCGCCGCCACCCATCTTGGCCATCTTTTCGTTCTCGGCCTTAAGCATCGCAACAAGGTTCTTCATCTCGTCGAGCTCTGCCATGAGCTACATGACCAACGATGCGCTCTGCGACATGGTGGCCAGAAAGAGGTACCTTGCGTTCTGCGGGCGACGCGGCCGCCGATGCCTTCTTGGGCTGGAGCTTGATGACAGACGCGTTCTTGGCAAAGCCGAGCGTGGAAAAAGTGTAGTTGAGATACGTCACTTCGGGTCGGACGGCGCAAAAGAGGTAGGTTCTAAGACCATTTTCAAACGGTGGAGAATATTGTCGTATGCGTACCGGGCTTGGAGCATCGTGTCCTTGAGGTACTTGCAGAGAAAGTACGAGTTGCAGCCTGGGATGCTCGCGCCCGGCTTGAGCGTCTTCTTCTGGACAGCCTCTGGATATATACATATTGGTACCGTAAATGTACGATAGGAAGGAGGACGTACCCGCCATCTTCATGAAGAACTGGGCCATTTCCGTCAAACTCAGATTGATCTTCTTGCCCTGGTCCTGAAGCTCCTTGGATTTCGACGCATCCTGGTGCGGTCCAAGGTACTTCATCTCGATCGACCCGTCGTCGAACACGAGCTTTTGGTAGTTGGCGTACACAATGTCCCCGGCAGGCTCGGTGCCGGCCAAGTCGCAGACGTAGATACGCCCGCGCTGCTTCATGCCTTCGCGCTCCGGGTCGGGCTTCTCGACTTCAAGCGTCATGATGCAGTGGCCGCGCGTCGACTGGTGGTTGAACTGCGTCGGTGCAATCGCTTTGCGCGAGTTGGCGCTCATAAATGTCCGGCGGAGATCGTTCCAGTCCTTGAGCACGACGCCCTATCCGGACCGTTGGATCCTTTTTTGTATACAAGTGGACACGATTGTCATATGTACCTGGCACCACTCAATGTCCATAAAGCCATCCGCGTCCTTGCGCATGCCGTTCTTGTACTGCTGCTCTTGGGCCATCGGCGACATGAGGTCGCGGACCGTGTCGACGACGTTTTGAAAGTACTTCATCGTGATCTTCCACCCATCCTGCTTCTCCTTGAAGAGGTTGTACGCGAGCCGCGGAAAGATGCCCCACTACATGATTATCATCCTCTTCAGAAACATTCTCAGGATGTGGTGTACGAGCGGATGCGGCTCTTCGTGCTTGAACCACGCCTCTGGAATGTCCACAGCGTCGGGCTAGAACCATGGCCATGAGCGTCGTAGCCTGTGTAGCGTAGAGAGTGTACGCCAAAGACGGTAAACGTTTTGCCCGACCCGCTGAGGCCGTAGGCGAACATGACGACCGCGTTGCCGCCCAAGAGGTCGTCCTTGATCTTGGCGCCGCATGCCTCGTACGCCATGGCCTGGTCCACAAGCAGCATGTTGTCGGCAGGCAGCGAGTCGCCCTTGACGTGGCGCTTGTAGCCGTACGCGCTCCACCACGCCCAGCTAAAGGCAAACCTAGAGCCATAGAGAATGGTCATGGCCCGTAGCATGGCTTGTCGACGGTACCGCGTCGTCGAGTATGTCGAGTTGATGAGCTCGACCTCGCCTTCCTCATCACCCTTCTGTGTCATGACGACGCCGAGCGTGTCATCGATCGTGAACGGCCGGCACCGGATGCACACCTTGATGCTCACGCTCATGCTGGTGCAATCTGGCAGATGCGATCTGCGATCTTTCGCTTCGGCGACGCTTGAGATCTCGTGCCACAATCGGAATTTCGAGACAAAACAGGGTCTTTTTAGGTCAATAACACTATTTCTTGCCGTTTCTATCGATCGATTGCCAGAGGTTTAATGCTTGCTTGTCAGTCGCCCGTGGCGTCGGCTTCGTATCGACCATGCGCAAACCAAGACATGGGATGCCTATCTACAAGCAAGGCGCTCTAGTAGAGGAGCTTGTGGCGCGATGCACGACTACGAGCGCGAGGACTTGTACCGGTATCAGTCTAATGAGGAGGGATAACATTGATTCTCTGTCACGAGTCCATGCATCGGTGCGATGCTATGGAGGAGTGCGCTTCTTCCAAGTAGTAGTATTTAGCTCGTTCATCGTAGAGTGCCTGGGCACTGTGCGTGTTGAGCACTGACGGAAGACGTGGTCGAAATGATGCATACACTAATTCCGGACGCAAAGGTTGCCGCGCGTGCGATCAATTGTGAGAGGTTTTGAGTTTTCAAACTCGGCTTTTTGAATTTTGAAGCCCAGCTGGGTCGACCAGTGAGTGATTCGCTGCCGCGGGATGGACGTCCGAGGCGCAGGTAGACGCTTCGCGCATGATGGCCGGCAGCTCATGGAGAAGCATGCGTACCTAGAGAAGGAAAACTGGAAGCTCAAGAAGACCCTCAAGCGCAAGACCCCCGGCGTCGAGATGCCATCCATCCACGTCTCCAACCAAGCCTCGTCCCCTCGCAAGCTCCCGGCGCAGGCCTCGTCCTTCATCGCGTCTGACTTCCGCCACGTGCCCCAGCTCGACTTTGGGTCAGTCGAGATTGGCCAGACAAGGACGCTATCGCTCGGCTTCCTCAACCCGAGCGACCATGGCGTCGCCCACATCGTCGTCGAGGACGTGCTGCCAAAGGCCTTTGGCTCCGAGTTCTACGTCCATGCGCACGAGGCGATCGTCGTCCCGATGCAGTCCTCCGCGACGATTGACGTGGTCTTTACGCCGACCAAGCCCGGCCGCGTCCACGCCAAGCTCCACGTGCGCCTGAACAAGCGCTTCAAACTCTTTTGCACGCTCACCGCCACCGCAACAGGGACCGCGCTCGCATCGTCATCGTCCTCGTCCTCGTCTGCCAAGCGCGCCAAGGTATCGTCGACATCCTCCTCGTTGGCAGCGTCGTACGCGTCGACGTCGTCGACGATCTTGCGCAAGGCAGGGAAGCCCGAGACGTCGACAAGCCAGCTCTGGAAGAAGCGACGCATCGTCTTTGACGACCAATGGATCCCCAAGCAGGAAGAAGGTTTCCAGAAGTGGCTCAACTTTACGCTCCTCGGCGCCCATTTTGCCGAGATCAAGGACGAGACGCCGCTCACGACCGACCGGTATTACCAGCTGCGGCTGCTTGCAATCCGCCGACTCGAGTCCAAGATCCGGCAGGCAGCGCACGCCGTGTACAACCACAACCACACGGACCATGTCCTGTACCGTCTCCAGCGGGAAATCACGGCCAAGCGACTCACGATCCGAACCGACCGCCCACTGCATGTCGACGTCGGTCTGCAGAACGAGCTCATGACGCTTCTCAATCACTACCACCCGCTTTGGCTCACGCTCGGGCTCGAAGTTGTGCTCGGCCTCCGCATCGTCGAGTCCCTCGGGGAGCTCATCCATCCGACGTCCTCGTCGTCGCACATGCCGCTCTTTCTACGTCGGCTCATCGCCGAGCGCATCACGAACGACCCGGTGCTCGCGCTCAAGCACCCGTCGCTGCATCTGGGCGTCAATCGGTCCGAGGCGTACTTGGCCAAGCTCCGCGTCCACACGCTTGTCAAGTGCTTCATGCTTGTCTACTTCCTCGACAAGGCGCATGCGCAGCGCCACGTCGACCATATTGCGCTGCCATGCCTCTTCCGGCCGTCGAGCAGTGTCAAGAGCTCCAAGCAGATTTTGTATGATTTTTGCCAAAAGTTTCTGAGCCAAGAAGGGAACGTGCTCCGGCACCTCGGCAACCTCGAGTATACGGTCGCCTACGAGCAAAGCGTCCTTGAGGAGATGGACATGCAGGTCGAGAACCTCGCCATGGACCTTCGCGACGGCGTCCGACTCGTACGCTTGCTCGAGACGCTTGTGCCCGGCGCGGTCTTGAGCCCGCAGCTGCGCTTGCCAGCCGTGTCGCGGCTCCAGAAGGTCCACAACGTCAAGGTCGCGCTGTCGTTTTTGGAGGAGCACTGCCAATTGCAGCTCAACGCGGTCGAGTCGAGCTGCGCCGTGACCAACTACCAGCCGACGACGATTGGGCCCAAGGACATTGTCGACGGGCACCGTGAAAAGACGCTTGCGCTCCTCTGGAAGGTACCCTACTTCTTCCTTTCTGTACTGGAGTCCTATATACTCATGATGGAGTTTAGCTCATTAGCCATTTCAAGATCTCGCACGTCGTCGACGTCGCCTTGGTTGCCACCGAAATTGACCGTGTGAAGCGCCGGTGGTCGGGCCTCGCCGCGCAAGTCTACGCGACGATCCACGACGGCGATGTCAACGACAACAACCGGTCGATTCCGCAGTTGCTGCTCGAGTGGTGCCGCGTCGTGTGTGCCAACTACCACCTCGCGATCCACAACTTTACCGCGTCGTTTGCCGATGGGAAAGCGCTCTGCCTCATGGTGCACTACTACCACCCGCGGGTATAAGTCCTATCCATGTGTGATGATGATGGTGTATAACTCTTCAAAATTAGTTGCTTGAAAAGTCCGACATGCACTGGACGACGAGTGATCGGAGCGACAAGGACCGCATTGGCCACGACGAGTTTGAAGCGCTTTTGTCGCAAGAGCGCGCCAACTTTGCACTCGTGAACGCCAAAGTCAAGCTCCTCGGCCAAGTCCCGGTCCTCGTGCCCGAGTTTGACTCGAACAATTTGCCCGAAGAGAAGATCATCATGACGTTCGTCGCGTACCTGCACTCGCGTCTCCTCGGCGCAAGCAAGGAGATCCACGCTGCGTTTACGCTCCAGGTACGACGACGGCCCTGCATAACATGAGAAACTGATTTGGTGTAGCATTGGTGGGTACCCCGCTTTCGCCGTTTGCGCCGGACCAAGCGCGACCACGCGGCGCGCGTCATCCAGCGCTTTTGGTACACGACGTCGCACAACCGGTTTGCGATCCGCTGTGTGCAGCGCCTCCTCTACTTGGCCCGGAAGCTCCAAGCATTTGGTCGCATGGTGGTCTGCCGGTCGCGGTATCTCCGCCACCGCGCCCAAATGGCTACGAAAAGTCCCGTCCGGGTGCCAATCAAAGCTCGGTGGTCTCCCAATCGTCGTGGCGTCGCCTGTTCGCGTGCCCGTCGTCGCACCACCGGCTCCCGTCGTGGCGCCACGATCCACGGTGGTCTATGCGCCGCTGTCGCCGACGCTGACCACAGTCCGCGCGCCTCGGTCACCGGTCGTCGCAGTGTATGCATCTCGGTCGCCGCCCGTGGCCGTCTTTGCACCGCCGTCGCCGCCTGTAACGGTCCCTGCCCCGCTGTCGCCGCCTCACTCGGACGAAGCCGACCCAACACCAGAGGTTGTCGAGGTTGACAACAACTACGACTTTGATGCGGCCGCAGCGTGCATTCAACGAGCCGTCCGCGCGTGGCTCGCCGACATTCGCGCGTCCCGAGCCGCCTTTCGCCTCGCGATGGAGCAAGCGCAGAGCGCCGTCCGTCTCCAACAGTGGTGGCGCATGTATCGCCGCGTCTCGTACACCAAGGCACTCTGGCAAACGATGGCCTTCCACCTGCGTTCGTTGCGCGACGCGGCGGCCGTGACACTGCAGCGCGCGGTCCGGCGCCGCCAGACGCAAGCGTTCTGGTACGCCCTCGTCTACTACGCGCGTCTCCAAAGTCGCCAAGTGGTCGCGGCGACCAAAATCCAGCGCTGGATCCGCGGCAAGGGCACGCAGAAGGTGCAGCATTTGTGGTCGACCATGGTCGTGCTCCTGCGGCAAAAGGAACAAGCGGCGGCGACGCGGCTCCAGCGCTGGTGCCGACGCCGTCTCGAATGGCCGCCTTGTACCGCGTCCAGGCGACGTGGTATGCGCTCGCAAACGCACTCCTCGAGCAGCAGCACGATGCAGCGACGACGCTGCAATTCTGGTACCGCAAAGCCATGCGGCTGTATGAGCGCAAGCAGCGCTGGGTCGACGTCATCCTCGCCGTCCATTACGAACGCTGCGACCAAGCCGCCGTGGTGATTCAAACGGCGTGGCGCCATGCCAAGCGTCGAGCCACTGTCGCCGTGTGGCATGATCTCATCAACCACGTGCTCGAACGCCGCCGACACGAGCTCTGGGACGCCTACACGACGGCGGCCGCGACACGGCTCCAGCGCGCCTTCCGACGGTACCGGGTCGTGTGCGTGCGGTGGCGCTGGACCGCCCTTGCCGTCGCCGCCAAGCACGCCCACGAAACGACGTCCGTGGCCGCAGCCGTGCGTCTCCAGACGTGGTGGCGCCAATACGCGCATACGTGGGCCCATCAAAAAGTGGTGGCTCGACGCGGTCGCCGTGCTCACGTACCACGACCACGCCGCGCGCGTCATTCAAGAGGCGTGGTATAAGGCGTGTCGTCGGGCACAGGTCCGCGACTGGTTTCTCAACGTCATTGCTGCCGTGCGTGAGCTCGAAGCCAATGACGCCGCCGCGATCGTCGTGCAGCGCTCTTGGCGCAAGGCGGTTTTGCGTGCCTCGTGGCGCACCTTGGTCGCCGACGTGTACCGCGCCAACCAGGCCGCGCTCGTGGTGCAAACCGCGTGGCGCACGTCGCAGCGCCAGTACCTCGTGCGGGCGTGGTGGACAGACACGACCGCGAGCCTCCGCGTCCAGCGGGGTGCGCGCGAGATGGAAGCAGCCACGACGCTCCAGTCCATGTGGCGCGAGTACAAGCGCCGGACGATCCTCCGGTCGTGGTGGACGCACGTCATCACGCTGCTGTACGAGCAACGTGACGCTGCAGCCGCGCAGATGCAGACCGAGGCCAAGGAGCTGCAGCACCACGCCGCCAAGACGCTTCAAAATTGGTGGGTCGAGGTGCAGCGCCGGTCGCGCGTCCGGGCCTACTGGACGCAACTCGTGGTCGTGCTCGAGGAGCAGCGCGACGGCGCCGCGTACATGCTTCAGTCGTGGTGGCGTACGCTGCAGTACAACCGCCGGCTCAAGACGATGCAGGACGAGTGGCACTCGCTCGCCGTGTGCCTCTCCATCCAGCAGCAAGACACGCAGAGCCTCGCGGCGACGCGTATCCAAGACTTTGTCCGGCGCTACCAAAGCCTCCAGTTTCTCAAAAACTGGTGGCTCGGCCTCATCGAGCACGTCCAGTACCGCGAGTCGGCGGCGCGCATCATCCAGGCGTATTGGGCCCACGCACGCATGCGCAAGCAGCAGCCCAAGCCGCGCCGTATCTCGATGCACCGCGTCCTCCCGGGCGACGCGATTCTCAAGCTCCAGTCGTGGTGGCGCGGCACGCTCGTCCGTCGGCAGTACGACCGCCTCTCGCCCGTGACGGCCGTGCGTCATCGCCTCGACGCGGCCAAGACGTCGGCCAACGTCGTCGCCGCCGCGCTCCGCGATCAAAAACCGCTGTTTGTGCAAGAGGAAAAGATCAAGCTCCGTCTCCGGCTCAAGCGCGCGCTTGCGATTCTGCACACGTCGCCGCGCCTCCAAGACATGCTCCACGCGGTGCATACGCTCGAAATGTGCACGCGCCTCAGTCGCGAGTGCTGCGTCGAGTGCTTGTTGCATCAAGTGCCGCGGCTGCTCTACGCGGCGATCCGCAAGTGCAACCGGAGCCGGCCGCAGCTCGAGCTCCTCCACCAGCTGCTGCAGGTGGTCTTGAATCTCTGTTTGCACCAGCAAGGCCGGTTCCACGCGGCCAACATTGCGATCGCCGAAGACGTCGAGGGCCACGCAATGAGCTGCGAGCTCTGGATCGACCTCATGCAAATGCACCGCGACTCGGCCGTGCTCTTTACGCTCAACGCGCGTCTCCTCAAGTATGCGCTCATGTGCCTCGTGCGCGACAACGCCGAGTTTGACGGCCGCCAGCAAGCGCTCTTGAGCGAAGCCCACCGCCGCCTCTCGCTGCTCCACGCGCTCTTTGCGAAACGGGCGCGGACCAAGAGCCTCGTGGAAAAGCAGGTGGCACACAAGGGCAAGGAGGTGCCGGGCCAGTTGCACCCGACGCGCGCCATCTCGATTTTGCAAACGCTCCTCTCGCTCCTCCCGGCGTCGGCGCATTAGACGAGCAACGACGACTATCTATTAGCTCACAGAATATGATCATCTTCGTGTATCCAAGCACTGCATTCTATCGCCGAGCGTTCGCTCTACGCGGGAACGGCAATCGAGATGTTCGTATGCAGCCCTTTGCGATGGAGGGAGCCGTGTCGGAAGAGGCTGGGCAGCTGCGCCACGCCGCTTTCACCGGTAGTGGGGTTGCGAACGATGGAGGGTTACGTGTATGGCAACATGATCGTCGCTTGACTGGGACATGGTAAGGAGGCGCAACGTCAACATGGGCAACCAACACCCTCGACCGCCCGCGGCGACAGACGTGAAGCACGAGGCGCGGGTCGAATTTGGGTGCGCATGATGGAGACATGCTGTCGCGACATGTCTAGCGATCGCGTCGGCGTCGTCAGCAGGAAGATGGGCGGCGACGACGCTGCGTGCAGAAGAGAGAATTCACAGGGTCAAGGACGTCGTGGTATTCAAAAACGCGGCAACGACAAGAGCGAGGACTGGACGCGGACGAAACGAAATCGCTTATATAAGTACGTTGCCAGCTATTCGTCCTCATCTACAGAAGGTCAGCGACGCCAAGATGCTTGCCGCGGCGCGCCGACAAGTTACCTACTCAAAAGCGGCGTCTTCTCGTTCGTGACGCCTTCGACGCGCTCGCTCATCTGCAAGTGCTCGTACGCCGAGCTGCCTTCGTCGGTCTTGCGCGCCTCGACAAAGTAGACGGCAATCGACGCCGCAAACACGCCGGCGTACACGATCGCTACGTCCGAGGGCGTGAGCTCATTGGAATCATGCAGCGATGGCGCATCTACCAGTGTTGTACACGGGGCCGGCGGTCACGTCCTTCCCGAGGCTCTTGATGTACTGCGGCTGGCTCTGCATGAGGAAGCCGAGGAGCCCGAGGAAGATGACACCAAAGGCCGAGAGCATCGAGCAGCACAACGCGCAGCTTTGCTTGGACATGGCGTCGGTCGAATTGCAGAATGGCAAGCACCGGAGCGGCGCAATACAATGCGCGTTTCGACCTTTACATACAAATATCTATATCATAATATAAAATGTCACCAGAAAGTGAGGACGCAGCCGCCGTATCCGGAGGGAGAGGCCCAACGCCGCGAGATGGATTTTATCACTTGGTATTTGTAAGGAAATTAAATACCACGACCGCACCGTGTCTGTGGCTCGCCCATGCCCGTATCCGGACTGCTCCGGACGACTTCAAGGTGATCGCAAGCAAGGATATCGCGGCCACCGACCGCCATGGACCTCGACTGCATGGCGTCAAGACAATGGTGCGACGATACTGAGGAAGGACGCGGTCGTTCCTCGCTAAGAGAACGGGCGACGCGGCGCGAAGAGCAGCGTGGAGCGTGGAGGACGTCGCCAACGTGGGACTAAGCGGACCAAGACGCCCCTATTGTCCACCGCGTCGGTCGTTGCAAGCGTGGCACAAGGCGGGACCAGGCGGGACCAGGCCATGTATGCGTCGAGCAGCGCAGCGCAGCGGTGTAGAGTGCAATCGAGCCCGAGGTGCCGATGACTCCGCGACCAACGCTGGCGCCGTTCATTCAGACGCTCATCGAGATGCTGCAGTCGCGTTCGCCGTGCCTCCATTGGCACGAAGATGGCAAGTCCTTCGACATTCTCGACGTTGAAGCCTTCTCGACGTCGGTGCTCCCGCGCTTCTTCCGCCACAGCAAGTTTACGAGCTTCCAGCGCCAGCTCAACTACTTTAGCTTCCGGAAGCAGTCCCGGCGACAGTCGAGCGTGTGCACGTACGCCCACGAGTCGCTCTCGCTACGAGAGCATGCGCAGGCGCTGCAGATCGTTCGCAAGACAGTGAAGGAGCGCAGCTGCAAGGCCAAGCTGCCCGACGAAGCCAAAGCCAAAGGCGTGCTGGCCTACACGGAGGCGTCGATGGCGTACTCCAAGGCATGGCTCAAACCGCCGCCGCCCAAGCTCGCCGACATGGCCATGGACATGACGCCGCTTGCGTTTGCCTACAGCAGCGAGGCCGATGTGGGTGCGATCGAGGCCCGCATGCCCCTTCTCGACGACGAGATGACGAGTTGGCTCTTGACGCAGTTTGAAGACCAGATCTAGGACCGTGTGTCGACGGTGGATGAATACATAACGTGTGCTGCATTAATCAGTCGCCTTACGCTTACATACGGTCGAGGCATTCGAACTGGACGATGCTGTTGCCGCGGATGACGACCATGCCGAGCTTGTTGGCCTCGGTCGTCGAGACCTCCTCGATGGCCTCTTCCAGCGTGATGTTCATGAACTGGTCGAAGCCACGCAGGACGCCCGAGACCTTGCGGCTGCCATTGAGCTTGATGCAGAGCGTCTTGTCCATGTACTTCTTGAGGTCCGGGCCCGTGTTCTTGCTCATGCTTCCTGGTCGCTCGCTGCTTCTTACACTCCACCACTCACAACGCGAGCGTTCGAAATTCCCCTTTTTCCGATTTTTTAACCAATCCAAATGCAGGAATGTTTTTGGCCAATCCCAACAGGGCATATCTAAGTTTAAAACACATTGCATGTTGTCCACCTGCTCTAAAACAACACCGTAGTATGCTTGTGCTCCATCAACACGCCCGTCTCCCTACATCACATTATACAACTTGAATGAAAGGGCCACGACAAGCGCCTTCATCCCTGTGGGAGCTTTTGTCGCTAGCAAAATGCATCGGACTGGAAAGCCCACCAAGCAACGGCCAATGTGTGGTTTAAACACTTTAAAGTGTATGAAACAGGACCAGATTGTTGCAAACCGCTGGAATCACGCCACATTGCAGATCCAGACCAGCCAGCCAACATGCCCAGCGAGATTCGCCGCCTCCACGTCGAGGACCGCTTCAGCGAGGTCGTCGTGCACAACGGGACCGTGTACCTCTCGGGTCAGCTGGCCGACGACCTCGACGGCGGCATTGCCGCACAAACCGCCGAGACGCTCGCGAGCATCGACCAGTTCCTCGCCGACGCGGGCACGGACAAGTCGCGCATCCTCTCGGTGACCATCTACCTCAAGGACATGGCGGATTACGCCGGCATGAACGCGGTCTGGGACGCGTGGGTCGTCAAGGGCGCGACGCCGGCCCGCGCCACGGTGCAGTCGGCGTTGTACGACCCCAAGGTGCTCGTCGAGATGTCGGTCGTCGCAGCGCTCTAATGCAGTTGGATGAACGATGTCGTTGCACTTGATAGTCTCTGTGTCGCTTGGTCACTCTTTGCAGTGGACTAGAGTAAAGCTTATATCAGCTGCGCACAGGCAGCCACGAGATCGGCTCGTCGCTAAATACGGCGCGGAGTGTATCGTCTCCCGCGTCTCACTTTCCGGGGTTCGCCACCCATGTACGTGTCGAACGGTCCCAGTATTTGTGTTGGTCAGCCCGATGCTCTCGAGTCTTGGCATGTTGTTTTGCTCTGCTTCAACGCGTTTTGCACACGATTTAACTGGAGATCGCAGCCGGAATAAGGCCTTTCCGTGGGATATCAAATGTCTCAGTAAGAGCAATAATCTGCCGGTACTAGCAATTAAGTGCAAAGACATCGTTCATCCAACTGCATTAGAGCGCTGCGACGACCGACATCTCGACGAGCACCTTGGGGTCGTACAACGCCGACTGCACCGTGGCGCGGGCCGGCGTCGCGCCCTTGACGACCCACGCGTCCCAGACCGCGTTCATGCCGGCGTAATCCGCCATGTCCTTGAGGTAGATGGTCACCGAGAGGATGCGCGACTTGTCCGTGCCCGCGTCGGCGAGGAACTGGTCGATGCTCGCGAGCGTCTCGGCGGTTTGTGCGGCAATGCCGCCGTCGAGGTCGTCGGCCAGCTGACCCGAGAGGTACACCGTCCCGTTGTGCACGACGACCTCGCTGAAGCGGTCCTCGACGTGGAGGCGGCGGATCGT